AAATATAATCTGTTTCTAAACTTCTTTTATATTGATTTCTTTTCAGCATATCAATCACAAAACCAGACTAAATGGTTTGAGGGTTTTTGGGGAATGTGTTGGGATGCGGAAAAAAAGCATAGTGCTCTTGTAAATTAAAGAAAATGCACATCAGCAGTAATAAATTGTAAAACATAATGTATTTTTTTTATATATATATATCTTATGTACCTTATCCATCTTCCTTGCTTGTTTCTTCTTTTTACACATCCTCCTCACAGGAAAGAATGAGTATGATCTTCTGGTAATTGGTGGAGGATCTGGAGGCCTTGCTTGTGCAAAAGAAGGTTTGTATATATCAACAGCTAATAACAGTTTTGTCTTAAGTGCTGTTCATGAAAGCTAAGAGAAGTTCTACTGATAATGCTAAAACTTTATATGCTTCAGTCCCCGCACATTATTTTTTAACTCAGCTCTATACAGTTAATCTGTAAATTACTTCACATCCTTGGGTGGGGTGATCTTGTTTGGCTTTTCTATTAACCTTTCAAGAATTTTTTTCTGTCATGAGTAAATCTAATAGGCTTTTATTTCACTGTTATTGTAAAAGACCCTGCCTCCATAGATACTGTATTTTTTTAGTTATACTCTTTCTTATTTATGTGTTAGAAGAACAGTCCTTTCAGACTATTTCCAAGAATTGTTTAACTGCTGTAGAGAACCTTGTCCCCTTGTAACTCAGTGTAACAAGCTCAACAACTCAGAAGGTTCTTAAATGTCTCTGGAGGTCCAATAGTGTTTTTAGAGTTGGTGGAAGCTGGAGGCTCCAGGCTGTGTTAAGTGTCTTCTGGAGAATCTGCTGACTACATGGGCAGCCTGGGTCTCTAGTCTGACATCTCGAGTTAGACAGTAAAAACCACCAGCAGTCATCTCCTGTACTCTTTATCTCTTTATCTGTACATGGGCTAGTAAAAATGTTTGGGTTTGTGTGTTTCTCCCTCCTCTAAATACCTTCTCTTGCTTTTTGTTTAAAGCTGCTCAGTTTGGAAAGAAAGTGGCTGTTTTGGATTACGTGGAACCTTCTCCACAAGGTACTAGGTTAAAACTCGGTCGTGTAAATAAAATGGTTGCCTCGGTGAGCAGATTGCTCCAGACAGCAAAGCAGCCAAAGCTACTCTTCCTGCTTTGCTTATAGTCAAAGTCTTTAAGCCCAGCTTGCTGGACTGCTCATTCTCTCCAGTGATGTCCTAGCTCTGCCCGCTTCCCCTGCACGTTTAAAGTCGGTACCAGTGTTTGATGTAGTAGTAGACTTCGGACTTAAATATGTGAGAAGATCATCTCTGTCAAAAATGTCATTTACAATTTCTAAAGTCGTGAGTCACATCACGTTAAGGCTCTTCATGTGCAGATGCAAATAAACAAACGTGAATGTGTAGTTAACTGGATCTTCAGAGCTCTGAGAAAGATCTTGAGATGATTTGAATTTTAGATATTATAGAGATTTTTTTTTTATCAAAGCAAATGAACATAAGCAGAGTTAGAAACTGCTCTGTAGGAGACAGTAAACTGTGTTGTGTTTCAGAACTTTTTGACTAATTTGCATGAACAAAGTAACTCTCTTAAGTAACCCATTTGCTTCAAGTTACATATACCTGATGCGTTTACTTTTTTCTTTTCTCTCTCTCTCTCTTTTTTTTTTTTTTACCCCTCAAGGAACCAGATGGGGACTGGGTGGAACTTGTGTCAATGTTGGCTGTATTCCTAAAAAGCTTATGCATCAAGCAGCCCTTTTAGGGAGTGCCCTTAAAGATGCCCAACACTATGGCTGGAATATAGCCCAACCTGTTCATCATACCTGGTAATGATTATTGCCTATATCCACTCCTGTGAGCTGCACATGTGGAACAACTTTTCCTGGTTGATATTTATTTAGGGACAGTTAGGGAAGTGAATTTTGCCTGAAATGTTTTAGACTGTTCCTTGTTTAAAACATAAACCTCTATCTGTTTATCAGAGCAGGTATTAGGTTCATTTGGACTTGATGATTTCCTTTTGTAACAAAAAAGTACTGTAGAACATTCCTAATTTCTAACAATTGCCTGTGTCTTTGTGTTGTATAATCTGAATTTGTAATGTAATAACTTCATGTTTAGTTTCTTGTTTTATGATAGGTCTGTGATGGCACAAGCTGTTCAGAATTATGTGAAATCCTTGAACTGGGGACACAGAGTGCAACTGCAAGACAAGTAAATAAGACTTTGAAATTCATCTTTCTTCCCATAGTCAAGGAGCTCTTCTTGTAGAATTGCTGAATTGCTTTTAGAGTTTCTCATGAGAGCTAGTACTTTGAGTTTGTAAGTCCTTTTTGCTCAGGACTATAAGTACCCTTGCCAATATAAATGTGTTTTAATTTTTTTTCCCCCTCTTTGTTTTCTATGCTGTGAAATAGTGGTTGCAAGTGACCATGCGTGAAAGTTTTCTAACAGTGTAGTGATCAGGGAATGCTCTCTAGAAACGTTTCGCATTAATATGAAGTAGTCAGGGTTTCTCAAGACAATTTCAAGCTTGTCCACTAAAATTTATTTGTGATACAAGCCCCCAAATAACACTATACTAGAGCAGCTGATTTTTTTACTTCACAGTGCAGAAATAGTTGCAATTTTTTAGCATGCAGTTCCTTTTATAGAAAAATTATATTAATAGATAATTTAACAGGTACTAGTCTTGTGACTCTCGCTGAGTCACTTTTGTGTGGTCTCAAATGAGCATTGTATTAATAATGTTATAGATAGTAATGCTCTCATTGTATGGATGCAGCATTGGAAATGGTCAATGACCTGATCCCAAAGCATGTTACAACGTTAGGGACTCTGCTACATAGAGAAATGAGACACAAGAATTAAGTGACTTAAACTATGTGACAGAACTGCAGTCAGTGCTATGAAATGGGATGCTTTCTTCTTTTAGCTTTTCTGTGCCTGTTTGCTATCCTTTTTAGCACTTTAAATGTGGAAAAACTAACTGATGGTATTTCATTCCTATTCTCTAAGTGTGTTTTTGTTGCTGTTTTCTTCTAAACAGGAAAGTGAAATATTTCAACATGAAAGGGAGTTTTTCTGATCCACATACAGTCCGTGGTGTAACAAAAGCGGGTAAAGAGGTGAGCTGCTATGCTGATTTCTGCAGTATTAGTCACTTCAAACAGTCAGGTCTCATGTGTTGGCTTTCAGGTCAGCTGAGAGCTAGACTGTATTTTGCAAATTGCTTTAGGTATTCGGTATTGTTTTAGTGAAGGAGATTTGCATTTTTCACCTAGAGAAGAAGTTTGCAAATTTGACTGCTGCCTTCCGAGTCCCTAGCCTGTAACTTGTCAGTTAGATGCCGTTACTTTTTCTTTGCAGATGGAAATGCTGAGACCAAAGATTTTTTTCTTTCATTTAATAAGAGTCATACTGCTTTGATAGGTGGCTACAGAGATGTAACCACCTCCTTATTGCTCTGAATATTAGATCAGTCCGAGATATTTTCCTACCTGAGATGAATTGCAAGGGTCATTAGCTTTCTAGTATAAATTGGGTGTGGGAGTCAATTATACTGAACACACGGCTTCAAGCAACTTGGTCACATAACTGAACAGTGGCCATTTCTGCCAACAAGAGACCAAACATGCGCTTTTAACACCTATTTGAGAGTATTTTATGTTCTTGGGTAATATCAGCTTGAAAGAGCAAAGGTTTTCTGGAGCAGATGCCTAACATTTTCTAAATACCTCCTGCTCCAGGCCTTAGGGACAGAATGCACTTGCTGTGATCTCTGCGTGTTTTGTCCTAATCAAAATTGATTTTAAAAAGTCAAGTCATCGGAATCTTGTCCAGTATAGAAACAATTGTAAGTTTAATATTAAATCAAAAACTGATAGAGAACGCGTAGGAGAAACTCTTGCATGTGTTAATTTATTCCGTCTGCATCCTTTTTTTTTTAATGATTTCCTGATTATTATGCCATATAAATAGCAGATGATAGTGCCAACTTTCTTATATCTCTCTCCTTTGTACATGTTTAAAATCTAAAGACAGATAAAAGGATTTCAAATACTTGATTTTGATTTTGTGGTTTTGTTTGTAGACTATTGTTACTGCAGAAAATATTGTCATTGCCACTGGAGGAAGACCAAAATATCCTGCACATGTAAGTTACGCTTGCCATCTAACAACTCTAAAGGCTTTGCTGGTTTTGTTGTAGATAATAATGAATGTTTTGGGGGTAGAAAATGTAAATATAAAGTAACAGAAGAGATTTTTTTGTATTTGTCGTGTGAAAAATTATCTTTTATATCAAGTAGAGGCATTTCAGAAAACATTTCTGTAGAAAACAATTTACATCCATGCAGTATGTTGATGTTGCTTAGGGTTGTAGGATAATTCAGATTGGAAGGGACGTTTAGAGTTCATCTAGTTCAGCCTCCCGCTCAAGGAGGTTGGAATCAGCTGTGAGGTCAGATCATGTTGCTCAGGCCTTTTTTTTGCAGTCAGGTTTAGATAATCTCCAAAGGCAAAAACTGGATAACGTATCTGGGCCCCAGATTTTTTCCCCTTAGTCTGACACCTGTACTTCAGCTGGTACTGTCCAAGATGCTGTTAGTTGTTTTTTTTGCTGCTAGGACTTGCATTGTAGATTCAAGACCTTACCTGTGTGACCATAGGTTGCAGGTGCGCTGGAGTATGGAATCACAAGTGATGATCTATTCTGGTTAAAAGAAGCTCCTGGAAGAACGTAAGTTATCTTCCCATGGCTTTAAGAGATGCTGGCAGTTGTACTTTTTCTTTATGTGAAGGTGTAAAATGTTCAGAATTGCCTTTTAATGTTCGAAATAGCTTTTTATTATTTTTTATTTATTATTATTTTTCAAAATTGCCTTTTAATGTTCAGAGTTGCTACCAGATTTTCTTTCCTTCTATTTGCCTTCTGGGAATTTGTTTTACAATCACACTACTAAGCTTCATTAATATCTAATAGATTTTCTCCTCTACACCTCTTAGAAAATTCCCCTCTAAAATCAAAGTTCTCACCATCTTACGTTGACTTGTTTGCTGCAGCAATGCTACATGGAAGTCACAAGAGGGCAGCATAAACTTAAACAAAGGCTGTATTGTCCCTGTTTTTTGCTCTGTCTGTGTGAAATTGCTCTTCAATTAGGAAAGAAACGTGAACATAGAATCATAGAATCGTTTCAGTTGGAAAAGACTTTTAAGATTATTGAGTCCAACCATTAACCTGACATAATTTTATGTTCTCTTAAGTGGTGACGGTTCTGATAACAGAAGAAAATACGATGAGACACTTGAGTTACTTTTGCCTTTTCTTATCCTTTGGGAACTGTTGTTTAACTGGAATACTAAAAATTTATTTTTAATGGAAATAGTCTTTGTTTGTTAGAGCACATAGCACATTAAGTTTCTGAGTCAACTTCGCACTACAGAGCAATTTCCTGATGCAAATAATTGTGGTAGGAAATGCACATTTGCTAACATGCAAGTCAGATGTTATTCTTTTTGTTATCGAACAATTCTAGAAAAAGCCCAGTATGTATTAGAAAAAGAGACTTGATACTGTAAAACTTTTTTTGAAAGCATACAGCTGTCATTAATGGTTGTGACTTTCTAATACAAAAAAAATGCACTGTGTTAAACTAAACATCAAAAATATAAGGAGGTCTTCTTGGTACAGTTTAAAAAAGAAAATAAATTTGCTGTTGTTTGTAGTATATCAGTCACATCTTGAATTTCAAGAGCATCTTTTAGGTGAGGAAACAATCTGGGTTTTTCTAAGGAAAAAAAAAAAACAACAGAAACAACAATAACCCCCCCCCCCCCCCAGCACACTAAAACTAAACATAAGATTTATTCCTGTAAGATGTTTCTGTGAAAATGTGGCTTTTGTCCAGTTTGCTAATACAAGTTCTAACAGTGTAATGTGGGAGTCTGGTGTTTATATGTTGCATTCCTGAGATTTAGTCAAAATAAGCCTGCAGGGGCTACAGTAGCATTTCTGTGCTTTATCAGGCTGTGTCCTAGCAAACGAAGGAGGGAGTTGTTAAAGGTTTGTTTCTGTTACAAATATTCCCAAGGTTGTGTTTAACACCTTTTGTTTCTATTCTGAGCTGTGTTGTACTTACTCTTTCTTTTCTCCCTCTCCAAATGTACATATCTCAGCTGCAAATTACATGCCTGGGGGTTGTAGAACTGTCAGTTCTGCAGTTATAAAAAGAAAAAAAAAGAGCAAACCATTAACCAACTTAGAAGTCCCTTAGATATACAAACATTGTGGAGAAATTCTCGCTACTGAGATGAAGGGTTTTGGCAGAGTGAATTAGAAAAGATACCCTGAAACATGTTCAGAATGAGTGAGAGATTGAGCAGGTGTGAACAAGGTTGGGCTCTGCTTTCTTAACTTTTCTCTTAGACACTGACAAAACCCAGGAACCCTCTGCTTTGTGGAAGAGATTGCGAATAATGTGGTGCTGATCCTATGAGTAAGTGCCAGCTAGCATCTACTCTTCATCTAATGAAAAAGAAGAGCAAATGTACACCCAAATTACAGATAGTCTCATTCTATTCCCTGTAAACCTCCAGTAGATATTTCTTTGAGCAGTGTGTGCCTTTTTGCAACACTTCCCAGGAGCTAAAAGAGGGGGTGATCATCCATTCACAGGTGAATCGGATGCCCTAATGCTGGAAGAATTTATTTCCCACTATGTTAAATTGTTTGCCAAACGTAAAACCCACACTAGCAGATTTTAATCTCTTTAGCCTCATTCAAAAGCTTTAGCGAAAGACTTTGTTGTAAGTTGAAGTGTTATCTGGAGCGCATCTCCAGACTGTCAGATTTTCACAGGTCTGCGTAACACGTGCACAGCTGAGGAGTGTGAGTGCAGCCTGTCCGGCAGCTGAGTGCCGGTGCCGGGCTGGTTGGCCCCGAGTTTACCTCTGGAACAGCGACTGGGCGCTCTGCCTTCACGTACCCAGCAGACATGGGGAGCTGAGGGTATGGTCAGGAGAGAGAGCACTGCTGCAGCGTGCAGGGCATCTGGGGACAGCGTGGAAAGCTGGAGAGCTGCTACACCTCCTGAATCCAAAGTGTGGATAGACAGTTTTAGTGATCTTGGTTGAAAGGGTGTGAAATAGGGGGAGACGTGGGAGCCAGAGTTTTATTTAAGCTGCGTTTGGTAAATACTAGTCTAGGTAAATCTATTAAATGGATTTTCTATAACTGCGTAAATAAACGTTTGAAGGGAGGAAGGACAAATATCTGGCATTTGGAAGAACATGATGAAAAAGCAGATGTTTATAAATCAAAATGAAATTTAGTAGTGAATGAAGTGTTATATTGGGATCTGGAATCTACTTGGTAGGAAGATGATGAATTTCAAATGTGCTCAACTTCTAATTGGTTCATTTTTCTTAAAAATAATTACAAACATATAATTAAGATACCTCTAGAGATTTTGAGGTGTATTTGAGTTCTGTTGAGTTTATCTGTTATGTTTATATCTTGCCTGCTGACTCGGAGGCAGTGGTGCCGAGACGCCCTGTAAGGGTGAGGGCTCAGTAGCAACAGGCGCTGGGGACACTGTCCGTGTCGCTCCACTTCTCTCCTGTGGAGGTATATCATAGAAAGCAACTGAAACATTTGTGATCACTCTTAACCTCGCTAGTTTCTCAGAGATTTTCATGGCTTTTTTCGCTGTGTCTTTTCAGAGTATGCGTTTAAAGATATATCAAAAATCCTCCTTGTATGTTGTAAGCCTATTTTTTTGAATTTTGTTAGTAAAATAGGCCCATTTGTAGTGTTAGAGTGTTGCCTTTGTTGGAGTTGACAAGCCACGCTCTTTCTTCCCGTCTAAAAACATCAGATCCAGTCCCCATAATTTTGTACCTATACAAACTTCAGAAAATAATTCTTTGATTGTGCAGAAGTACAGACAAGCTCATTCCACTACTTTATTCTTTTTTTTTTTCTTTTTATGTAACAGGTTGGTTGTTGGAGCCAGCTGTATCCTTTAAGAAACCTGTGATAATTTATAATTATATGCATCATAGGTGTCTTTCCTATGAAAGCTCAGTTTTCAGAATTTCTTTGCTCATGCACTATGACTGAGTTGGTAATAGAATAGTAATAGTTTGCAGAAGCATCGTGGGAATTAAAGTCAGCTGAGGATAAATCCTCAGCATCTTACAAACAATGTTATCTATGAGGAAAATATTCTAAGAGTTTGCATGAGGAGATTAAAAAGTCCCCTTGGATACTACCTTTTATATTGCATTTATATGAAGTTATTGTTTATGTTTCCTTAACTGAGGCTTCACCAGATGTTTCACTTGAGTGTGCTGGTTTTCTAACGGGCATTGGATTGGACACTACAGTCATGATGAGAACTATCCCACTTCGTGGATTTGATCAGGTAAGTACAGAATGTCTTACATCTCCTTGTAGATCAATATGTTAAAAAGTATATTTGATTATTTTGGTCTCCTAAAGAAAAAATGTTGTTGGCTTCTCCATATATATCCTAGTACATGCTTTCTGAAGAGAAACTAAATATATATTAGCTTTTGTTTTCCTATCATATCTCCTGATACTCAGAAAAGTAAATATTTCTTTTTTCCCTCCTGCTTAATTGAAAACAAGATCGAAAAGGTTAGGAAGCAGGGGAGGGATTTATGCCACTGCTAAAAGCATTAGGTGATCTTTTTAAAATCACCCTGAATTTCTAGGAGTTACAGATACAATGATTTTAAAAATAAATTATTGGACTTAACATGAGGTAGTTCAATGTGGAGTTCGTTTTGATAAATAGAAATAAGTCACTAAGATAGGAGCTGAGTTTATAGTGACGTAAGAATTGGAAGTCTTTACCTTAACACTTTCAAAGCAGTGATAGTTATAACTAGGTAAAAAAAATACGTATTGATTTCAGTGGAACTATCAGCCTTAAAGTTGGAGAAAATTAAAAGCAAAAACTTTCACGCAAGGACTTTTAAAGATAAAAAGCTATGTTTCAAAATTGGGAAAGATTTTGAGGAGTTTTATTTAAAATTATAAGTGGTCATGATTGTGCTGACAAAACGGAAAACAGTTTTGGCCAGAAACCCATTCCTGTAAGAGCAATTATAAATAACAATGAGAAAAGGCAACAACAGAAAAAAAGAAGGGAAAAAAAAAAAGCTTTATATCGGATTTGTGTAAAAAATATAACTGCTTAAAGAAGCAATAGAAGGTGAGAGAAAAGTGAGAGTTGTAAGTTTTCACTTACATGTGCAGTGAACTTTTGCTTTGAAGTTTTCAACATTTTTTATGTCAGACAAATAAGTCTGGAAAATCTCAGCCTCAGGAATGAAGACTGTGTGGTGTTAATCGCTTGAAAATAGTGTTTTCAGAACAGGAATGAATGCATGTTAATTATTCTTAGTATAAGGCATTAGAATTTTTTTTTAATGCTTAATGCAACAGGCCCAAGTTGGTGAAAGAGTGATAGAACTATGTGCTGGTTTTTAAGAACTCCTTTGCACACACAGTGTGTAGGAGGATTGTTTTCATGTGTAACAGCACCGTTTGGGTGGAAGGAATATTGCTTCTAGAAGCAGCAGTGACAAGTACCGCTGCAGGTAGTGACAGCTCCTGGTTGCGTGCCAGCCCCTCCCACTTTGAAGTGGCTTCCTTTCAAACTAGTGGTATGTGCACCGGGGTTTGCAAAACATTGTACAGGAATGTGGCTTGGGATTTGCACTTGTCACTGAAGAAATCTACACCTGCAACAGCGTGACATCTGAGCAAGCAGGGAACAGCGTGAGAGCGTGTGTGTGGCACTTCATGAACCGTGTGCAGGACGGCTTTCTCGGAGAACTGGAGCCTTTGTAGGCAGGAAAAGCACAATGGGCATTGGAAAGTTAGGAAAGTATTAATAGAGATAAAATAATTACATCCAGTGTGTGGTCACCCTGAGCCTGATGGAAACTGGTTATTGAGCTGTCGTGTTTCTGAAGAGATATAACCCTGCTGTTGTCTTTGTCTTAGTTAATATCAACTTAGAAAAGAAAGTTTTGTAAGATGAGAGCTTGTGTATGAGTAGTTTTGAGATAACATAAAGTAATGAACATATTCTTTGACAAATTGCAACCTGAATTACTGCAGTCAAGAGCAACGACATCTTCGTATAAACCTGTCAGTGCAACACTTTACCTCTTGACTGTGGTGTGGCATTGTTTCACACAGGCTCTTAGGACAAAAACGTTATTTCCTTTTGGTAGTAGACCTTTCCAGGAAACCTTAGGGATTCATAGTCATTGCAGAGAAATAACAGGTGTCATGGCAAAGGGAAATCTTTCTCTTCCTTAGCTTTATGAAAATATTTAATTCTCATCAAGCTGCTAGAAAATAGTAATTATGATAACGTTAAATTGAATATGCTGTAGATGCTATTTTTGCGTAAGCAATACATAGTTTCATAGAAACGGGTTTATTAGTATACTATTTTACTGTTTTGAAAGTAATTTGCGTATCCAGATGTAGATGCCTGCCAGAATGGAGTTGCAGGTCATAGTGTCTCAACGGATTATCATGTGTTGGTAATGGATGATGACTGACAAAAATGTTTGAAATGCACAATGTATTTACTGCATTTTCATGAAGAAAACTGAAGGAGAGCTTTGTATTTAAAAGGTCATATACCTGAGAATAAACCATTTTTTTGCCCCTACTTAACAGCAAATGGCTTCTTTAGTAACTGAGCACATGGAATCTTATGGCACAAAATTTTTGAAGAGATGTTTTCCAACCAAAGTTGAAAAATTGGAGAGCAACAGATTGCAAGTCACCTGGAAAAATACTGACCTAGGCACAGAAGAAACTGATTCCTTTGACACGGTGATGTGGGCAGTAGGTAAACTCGATTATCCTAACGTTTATTTGCAATGCTTTCCATTCTGAAAATGAAGTCCCCTCATCAGGTTGCATGGGGACAAACAGCCCCTCCCTTTTTCTTTTATATTAAATATTTAGTGACCTAAACATTGGGGTTTTTTTTTAATTCTTTTTGCACATACTTGGCTTATTCACTTACAGTCTAAAAACCCATGAAAGTTACAGTGTTTGGAGGAGATATATGGTGACTACTTTTACATAAGCTGCAATAAATGGGAACCACTTAGGCTTCTTCACATTCACTAGAGAATGAGAGCATAAATTTCATCAACCTCTGGTGCTGGTAATGTTCTGTAAGTCCATACGCTTGATTTAATCATGAAGCTATTAACTGAAAATTCCCATTTATGCTGTTCAAGAGGCTACCATTTCTTCTAGGTATTTTTCTGAACTATACTGCTTAATTTTCTTACTGCAGCCATCATCCAATGTGGAGAAAGAGAAGTAATTGTCCCTAAAAAACCCGAATTTGTCGCAGGGACCCTTGGAACTTTAGAACTTTTTGAAATCTTGTTTGGAACTTTCATGTATCTCTGCACCCTCAGAACTGGCATATGAGGCCTGTCAGAGTAAATCAGATTTTTGTGACAAATAGCTATCAACATGATCATCATAAATGGGAATTAAATCTGATTTCTTGCCTCCTTTGAGTCAAATGCTCCTTCTTCTAAGGATCAACACACTCAGTGATGTGCGATACAAGGCTCCCAGCCCACAGGAACAGAAATACTCCCTCTGTGTTGTCTCTCTGAGCTACTCACTTGTTGCTGTTGAGTTGGCCCTCAGTTCCTCTGTTCATTCAGTTCCCACCAGAAAAGGAGACCTCTTGCCTTCTGTGCTTATGAAGCTTTGTGAGTATCTGGAGTTCAAGATAAATAATGGATGGCTAGAGGTAGTAGTGATTTTTGGCGAGTGGATGGTATCTGGCAAACAAAGTAAAGAGGCTTAAACTTACTGACCAAGAAATCTGTTCTGATGCCGAAGACCGATCAGTTTTACTAGCAGCTTTAGCAATTCTTTTAACTACTTCATTTTTATTCTATTCTTTTTATCTGACACTACTGTTGTAGAGTAGTGGGGAAGCATACTCTTTCATTTGTTGATAACTGATAAAGTTAAATTCTTGTGGTTGAAGGATAGATCCATTATAGGAAACATAAACAGATAATTTACAGCATTTTGTATTCTGTCCAGTGAACTAAATCTGTTGTTCCTTTCTCCTGGTTAAGTCGACTTTATACTTCCCTAATACCCTAAGCAGAGAGCAGGATGTGTGTTGTGACAAATATTTTCTTTCACTTACTGTAATTACAAGTCTCTTAGAAGTGCAATGGACTTCTATAAATTGTGGAAACAGCCTATAATAATGGATTCTGCTCACCAGAACCAAAGCTACTTGCCGCGAGCAAAAAAGGTCATGCTAGCTGGAGGTCTGAAAACTCTATCTGCCCTGAAAACTGTAGAATAATATTTATGAGGTGAGATGAAAATGTTTCCAAAAAGTGAGTTTCTAAATGCTCTATGTGATTTCTCTCAAGCTTTCTGGTAAAAGTATACTGAGGTGGAGTCACACCTGTGAAATGTCAAGTCAATTTGTTTACTTTTGGCAAAGATGGAAAAAAGAGCTATTAAGATGAAATTATAAGAAAAAAAATTGTAGGCTAGAGTTAATTATAGTGGAATAAGGTTGCATGATATAATATTGCCATTCAGTTGTAACGGGACTCCACTCACTTTGTGGATACAGAGGAACAAAATGTGTTATAACTTTTGTCACAGATTTGTGTTACAATCCGTATTTAGAAACTTCAAAATTAATAGTTTGAGGGTTCGGGTTTTTTGTGTTGACTTTTTTTTTCCACCAGTGTTCAAACTGGCACTCCACCCTGAAGGATTAAACACGTTAACAGTTCAAGCTGGTTAATTGATGTGCAGTCCATGTGATTCATTGTTTTGCTCTGTATCAACACACCCGCACCAGGTGTCCCACATAATAGGCTGGGAAACTTGTAGTGCTGAGGATTTCCTGTCTGCAGATGTGCCAGTTACAATACTGATTGAAGAAAGTCAGCTTGTAGAGTTAGTTAAAAAGCAGTCGCTATTGTTAACTAATTGTACCCTGAATTATAGCAGGTATTTCCCTTATTTTTGTAAGCACATTGTGGAATTTTAGTAGGATTTCATTAATAATGTTAAAAATATTTATTGACAGTGAGACATAGCTCGAGTTTGGTAAACTACAGTATTATCTTTGAATGTAGGCCCTTTGAAAAGGAATACATTGTGTTTCAATGAAGAGTTTGTTTATCTTTTGGAGTGCATAATTCTCTGTTTGTACAGATAAGCCAATAAAAGCAGACACAATGCTCGCTCTGCTTTTCTAGCAGCTTTTTTGAACCAGTCAAAATGTTTGAGGAAAAATATTCATTGTGATACCTTCTAATGTAATTTAAAGGTTTCAATCCAAAGGTTCGGTGGGTAACTGTTATGGGCCTGTGTTACCTTTCTGAGTGACTGTGCTGTTGTATTGCAGATCAGTGAAACAGCTCTTTCTTGACCTTTATTTGATTCTGCCTGTCTAGTCCTGTGATGTCCTTCTGTCTTTTAACTAGGGCTCTGTCTTATGCTTTTGTGAGAATTCTCCTGAAATTAGAAGCTTTTGAGATTTTTGTTTTTCATTCACGATGAAACCAACGAACTTTCAATATTAAATAGTATTTCCTCTACCCTTGAGGACTTACAAAAGTTATTTTATTTTAGGTGCCTGGTATACCTGAGCTCCAAAGCAAGTATGTGATTGTACAGATTGAGCACAGGGTCTTCATCCAACAAAACAGGCAGAGATTGGCACCTTCGTAAACAGATGCAGGTGCTGTGGTAGATCAGGCTTTGTAGAGTGGCTTTGTTTCGGCTATTGGAGGACTGAAACCTGTGGATTGAATGCTGTAGTTGCAAAATCAGCTAATATATAAAAGGAAGTGGCAACTAGTATTTCCATTTGAATATGCAATAGATGGCAAAAGATCCTAGCTGTAACTGGAATTTGATTATTCACAAAGTCCTCAGAAAACCTGCTGTGTTACTGCATATCTGATGGTGTCTTACTGTGCAGCGTGCTCACACTGAATTAGTGATTAAACTAAGCAGGTCTTTACAAAATAACCTATAATTAGTTTGACAGAAAAAGTGAGGTAGTGTACTAGTAAACTGTTAAAAAGAGCAGTGACCAGGGGCAGATTTTAAACTTGGCTTTACAAAAAGAAGTTGTTCCCTGATGAGAGCAGCAAAACAGCCATTCTCAAATTCCGTTACGATCATACTCTTGGAGGGAAACCACCGTATCTTTGAAATAATATCTTTGCTATGAAAAGAAATTACACCTTTTGCTCACTGTAAATCTGAACAGGTATAAGGTGTTGCACATTATGTACTATATTGTTACACAGAATCACAGAATGTGTTTTTCTTTGTGTGGGACTGGTTGCTTGGCAGGTTTATTTGTAGCGCTGTAAAATAAGATCCTTGCTATTGGTTATCAAGAAAAGGTTATGTACGTAACATAATTTGTGTTATAGTAGTTTTCGTCAAGTCTTAGAGCCAAATCAGTTTAGACTAAGGAAGCACAAAATTTCTTTGGAGATTTTCTTTGAAAAGTTGTTTTTGTTTATCCACTGATAAACTTTGAATGTAACTCTTCTTTTATGCTACTTATTTTACCAGCTTGTAACTACACAAATCACCTTTTCATGTTGGGGAAAAGTCAGATACTATGCTGTGCTTCTAACCTGTGTGTGAGAGAACATTTTGGATTTAGAACTAGTTCAGCACTAGGGTGCTATTTGCATTGGTAGGTGCTGGCTAGTCTTTAACTGATTGGTGGTATAAATAAGTAAGACCATGGTGGAAACCACTCCAAAGTGATTTCAAGAAACCAGTGTAATTACTGTTACATCGTCTACAAAATACAGGTTCTGCTCACCCGTAAGTTTCTGGGAGATTGAAGCCGATGACCTTGCTTGGGAATGGAGGTTGGGTACTGGGGTTTGAGACTTCTGAACCATCCTTTAAGAGTGAATCCTTTGGGTAAAGCGAACTCAGTGAGAATTCATGTGAAGGTGAACTGTAGCTTTCTTCTCAGAACATGTTGCCAGTCCACTTTTCCTTGTACAGGACCTTGACAACCAGACGATTCGAATTGTTACAAGTCTGTCTCATGCTGTAAGGTTTTCATGCGATTGCACATCGCTTGGGATTAGTCTTTTTTTGTTGGTGCTTGGGTAGGACCAAAGCAACATGTCTCCAGACATGAGTAACTTCAGATTTCCAATGGATGGCGATGGCACTGATTGCACCCTGGCTGCCACACTGTGCTGAGATGACTCCCCTGTGTAGTAAGCATTACTAGTCAATGCTACAAGAGATAGTACACTTCACACTTGGCAAAGAACCTGTTACTGCCCTAGCACTGACTCAGGCCAGATTATTTTCAAATTGTGGCAGGCATGCTGAAAGCTTATCAGTGTTAATGAAATGTCCAGAAACATCCTTATAAAATTGGTGCACGCTGCTACCAACGTGGTAAGGGTTCTGAACTGTTTTTTTACCTCAGGTAATCTTACTGTAGTCAATATTTTCTTGTAATCTGAGCATTACTTACCCTGAATTGATCTCTGTTAGTCATTGCCAGCTGGCTATGTTTTAGCAAACACCTTGTGGGTTTTGAGGAGGAATTTGAAGGAGGAAAGGGTAGTGGTCTTGAAACTAATTTTGCGAGTGTGTCAGGCAACCAGAACAAGGTGAGAGAGAGTACCAAGACTGGAAACACAGATGATAATTTTAATTGTCAAATTGAGGCTGGATTTGGTAAAGTTAGGTAGTAACGTGCCAAAATGCCAATCTATAGGGAAGAAGTGGGGAAGGCTAATGAGCTTAAGTTTTATGCCAGAGGAATCACTTTGTCATCCTGCAGTGTCTTTACAATGTCCACCTGCAGTATCATGCCTGTCAGTAAAATGCTTGGTTGGCTCTAGTTTGGATTTTTCAAATGCTGGGGAGCAAACAGACATTCTGGCTTCTGTGATTAAGAAGCTGCAGAAGACCCATTATAAAATTCTGCTTTCAGCTGCACCTTTATCACCCTGGGAAATGCTACTGTCTGCAAGAGTGTGCTGCCGCTCATCTACTGCTGCTACTTGCTTGGTTGTGCCTGCTCCTGGGTGTCTTCTCAGTATAGCTGCTTCAGCTTCACTGCGGAAGGTCCTGCACAGGAAGGTCCCAGCAGTGTGGTGCTGCCTTCACCTGACTCCTTGCGCAGGTGGGATCACCAGAGCCCCTTGGCAGATGATGCGATAGAAATGCTGCAGCACGATATAACCAGCCTGGCAGGTATCTGAGCTGGGGGCTCTGACCAGTCTCTTGTCACTCCCTGTAGCTAAGCTGGCTGGCAGCCCCCTTAGGGAGCCACATCGTTAGATTTTACAAACGGATCAAAAATACATTTTTTCTTTTAAAGTTAAAAGCAAATGGGGGCAGACACTGAAAGCAGGGATCTGTGTGTTTTTCGCAGCTGTGTGATTATTGTCAGATGATTATGATGAGGAGATTATGATGTGGTATTAAAAGAGCAGGAGGCAGGTAACACTTTTAAGGGTCATATTTGAATTGCACCTTTCTTCTAGATGTCTGGCATAGGATTTTGCCATTTTGAATAAAAGCTAAGTCTAGTCTTATGTCTTACACGATCATATAGTACTTGTCCTGAGGCCGTTTGAGTGGACGTCTTCAAACTAGAAACACGGGTGCTGACTTCAGGGGGAGCCGGGCCAGCTCTGTGTTGCCTGCCGGGTAGGATTTGATATCGTTTTGTGTTGTGCTCTGAATCTGAGAAATAAGCTCATACTTTCTTGTAGCTGGAAATGTAATCAACTTAAGAGTTACTAGTATGAAACAAACATCCTTCTGATCCAGTACTACTGATAAGGGAATTTTGGGAAATATCAGAATTTTCTGAGTTTGACATTAAAACTTACCAAGAACATTGGATAATCTTGGACCTAAGCTGCTGAATTTGAGGTGAAGCAAGACCAGTAAGTGTGATTCTGGCTTATGGAGGTGAGCCAGTATGGGACTAAAGGCCAATAAAGCTTCAGTTCAGTTTTTTAAGGTTTTGGTTTTGCTTTCAGGATAATATTTAGGCAATAAAGTTGACAGAAAAATTCTACTGTGAGTAACAACACTTTTTTCTTTTTTTTGTTTTAACTCCCAGCTATTAATACCAAGCCATACACATGTTAAAATAGACTGGAATCGAAAGGTTAAGTGTTATCCTGCAGATTTGATAAACTCAACTGTTGTTGTCACAGGTCTTTAAATTACTCTAGTGACAGTGTTTCTTTTTTTCCTCTTTCAGTGCCTGCCATTGCGTGCTAAGCTTTCTCTTGGCTCTGCCTGGCAGGAAAAAGGGGAAACTAGAAAACCCCATTAGTTGTCCATTTGCAGAATATCCAGGCTTTACTCTCAATACACAAAGAAATACAACGGTAGGAAGTTGTTTCACATCCGAGCCAAGATAAGGTCCTGGAGGTTTATTATTTTTGTTGCCTGATAGCATCAGGACTGGGGAGCAGGGGGCAGAGAAGGAACAGCGGATCAACATCCCATGGGGACAACAGAAGGGAAGACAGACAGATAGCCAAGTGCCGACAGCTTCAGTCAGTGCTCCCAGAGGAAGTGTTGGTTTCACCAGATGAAATTAATACACAGAAGTCTTTACAGAGGCATTCAGATGTGACATTGTTTGGGGGGCCTGGTTATATGGCAGATGTATAAAGCAGTGAATCATATGTTTACATATAATTAGGTCTGTATTGACAAGCCAGGTTTTCCTTTTGTTTAATAATTTCCTACATTAACATCAAAGAGCTTGTTTTTATAATGAAAACACATTTCCCTTCTTGTTTTGCTTTGCTAGAGCTCTGCATTAACATCAAACACAAAACCATGGCTCACGCAAAGGAGACGTATGTATGTAGGTGTAGCTATACTCCTTATCGTTTATAACCTCTAAAAATGGATGCAATGTTATAACATTTCCTTCATTTGGATATACTCATGTAATCTTTTCTGTGTGAATCTGTGTGTCCCTACAAATTCTATGGGGACCTCATAATTTCACCGTGCTTCAAATGCATGTGAAAAATTTAATAGGATTTAAGATTCCAATTCCTGGATCAGGAATTGCTTTGTTAGATGTTCTGTAGAAGAAAGCTCGGTGTAAGGTTATCAAGATTTCAGTGGTCTAAGGAAACACTACAGAAATATCTTCTTAAAGATGAGATAATTTAAAATTGTAATAAAATCTAGGCTTTGTAAAGTTTGCCTCATTTGGTTTTAAATCCATTTAAAAGTGTTTCTAAAATCTACAGAAATAGCTCAAATGCAGAGTTCGAGATAAATAACTGAGTATTGATGACTTGAGAGCAAAGTTGCCAGAGTTTTTTATCCAAGCTGAGGTAACTAAAAAAGCTGTAAGATAAGTGTGTCAGATAACAAGAAAAGAGGACGTCAGGAATGTTTAAGGTTGAACAGCATTATTAATGTTTTTTATGCACAAGTGTGCTCAGCAGGCTGTTAGTATTGAGTGCCATTCAGTGAATGTTTATTGGAAATTTTCAGTGTCAAAGTGGCTTAGTTGTTATATGTATATTCATTCTACATTAGGAAACTGCATTTAGAATGTGCAGTAAATATTAAACGGTGTGGGTTTTGTGCTTTTTGCCATGGATGTTGTCTTGCACAGTTTTAAAGCGTAGCTTTCTCTGAAATAATCTGAGCACAGGCAATAGTAATAGAGCTCCTTTCACAAAGAAATTAATATCCATAGTTTCCACCCTTACAGCTTTTAAAATATGAGATAAGTTCTGTCACATTTCTACTTGGGCTTTCAAATAGCACAATGTTCTTGGAACCCTACAGTGGAAGATGCCAGCTTTTTAGATTAACACTGCTGAAGTTTTCCAATAGTTTTTACTTTAGTTTATTTTTTTTTCCTTAAGGCCGAGCCCCTGACACTGCAACTCTCAATTTGAAGACAGTTGGAGTGAAAACGAATTCTGAAACTGGAAAGATCATCGTTGATGCCAGTGAAGCTACTTCTGTTCCTCACATTTATGCAGTTGGAGACATAACAGAGGTACCGTGTCTACATAAACTGTTTTACAATAACAGGAAGTCGACTTTGTTCCTGACTAATAACTAGTCCCCAGATGTCGTCATGCTCTAGCGTATATCTTAGTGTTTTGCTCTTTTCATTTTGCGGAGCTGTAGTGTTTCTGCCAGCCACCTGGGCCAGTAATTTCCCTCACGTGGATCTTGTGAAGTATCTCGGCTTTAGAGATTATTACTGATGCTTATCAGGGAATGCATCATTGGTCAGAGGCTAATAATAATAATGTCTTTATCACCTTAATTATCTTTCTAATAATGTTTTTATCACTTCAGACATATGACTTCATACTGCCTGTGAATGCTGAGTGAAAGCAGTTCTTACCTTTTGGAGTTGAATTCACTTAGTGGGAATGACTGTGACCATAGAATCGTAGAATGAGCTAGGCTGGAAGGGACCTTACAGATCATTTTAATCCAACCTCCCTGTCATGGGCACGGACGCCTCTCAACTAGATCAGGCAACACATGGGGACTGAACGGGGATTGAACCCCTGACCTTGGTGTTATCAGCACCACGCTCTAACCGACTGAGCTAACCGGCCCCCATGACTGTTCTGTAATTCCAGTTTTAATATTTTAATATTTTTAAAGGAGGGGACATTATAACTTAAGCAAAATATTTTGCTTATTATAAATGTAAAAAGTTAATTCTGTGGCCTTAGTCTAGTGCTACTGATAATCCAGTTATCTGTGACAAGAATGTCTTGTCCTGATCAAAGAGCACTCTAGTATTTCCAGTCCCTCAGTTTTCAGTTTACAGAAGATCTCGGAGTATCTGCTGTAAGTTGGGCATCTCCAAATACGTTGTCTTCATACAACATAATGTTTGCCTGGATTCTGAACTGTACAGTTACAGGAGGATGTTTTCATCAGCTGCCCGCTGTTCCTGAAAAATTTGGTCAATATGTAGAATATAGAGCCTGGGAATTGCAAGATACAAGATTCTGTCACCTATTGTTGGAACGTAGGAAGGCATGTGCTCAATTACATTATCAAGGTTGGTTTTGGTTTAGTGAAGGCATCTGTTTTACAAGTCTGGTAAATCTAAATACCATAGCAATATCCAAACACCATGTATGGTGTAGTTTGAGGGACTTTAAAAAAATTTCTCTTTCTTCCATGTTTAAAATCTTTTAAAGGTCTCTCGAAGTTATAAACCCTACAGGTGCTCTGAACTTTTTAAGAGATGTAACAGGTTACGTAATGTCTTGGGAATAGCCCTGCCAGTTTCTGACTGGACTCTGGGACTGTCAGGTACATTTAAATCTCATAAATCTGCTGACCATTTCTGACCTCTTCCCCTCTATGTAGACATATGTTTCTTCCTGTCTGTCTCCATCTTCACGTGAATAACTTGCCATTTACTTTTAAGCTGTGTTAAAACTCTTCCCTGCTCAGCTATTTCTCTTTTTTTTTTCCTTTTTTTTCCCCTTCCCTACTCTCCACAGCTTCTCTGTCCTGTCCAGTCACTCTGAGCTTTGGTATTATGTACAGTTCCTCTCCTTTCTTCTCAACATACTGGTTCCCTCTGTGTTTGTCACTTCTTGCTTTGGGCTGTTTCCTGAAGTCCTTGTTCTGCTCACACTGATGCCCTGCACCTGCTTGTCCCTGATACATGCCTTGCTTGGGCCTCCTGCTTTCCAAACTTTTTTTAATTTCATCCAAGGAGCACTTGTTTATGGCAGTGCTGGCAGGGCCTTAGATGCTGTTGCTTGTTTTGCTGCCAATCTGTGCTGTTATTCTGGGCAAGTCATTTCCTTCTGGGTGCTTTTTGTCTTTTATCCTTGGAGGATTTAGTTAAGTAAGAAATATAAAGTTGGAGGCAGGATGCTCTCCTCTTTCCTACTCTGGGTCTAAAAAATCAGGTCTTCATTTATTTGTCATTTTCATTTTGTTGGTAAAACTTGGATTTCCTTTTCCTGCTTTTGTCCTTATTAGTGCAGGTTTTTGAACTTGAGTTAATACAGCAACACAGTTTTATACTGTGACGAGTGTGCAACTGGGGAAAAACTGAAGAGTTAAATCAGTCTGCCCCATAGAAATAGTCTCTTAAGCTCTTATTTGCATGTGGGGTCAATACTGGGAACTAAAGAAATTACAATATAGTACTCATGCATTTACAAGGGTAGAAGGAATTATTGCCATTGTTTTACCTGATTCCAGTACACTGTAAGCCACATAATTCCACTCGCTAAGCAATACAGTTTATTTTATTTGAATACTTAAATTAATTTTGTCTTTTTTAAAAGCAGAATTAATTTAGATGCTAAATTTCATTGGCATGGGAACCAGCAGTGAACGAATGTTCTGGTGCGTATCTCAAAGAATTCACATGGAAGAGTCAAGTGTGTCGCACTAAGAAGCTTGGTGCGGGTGAGATCTACCAAAAGAACACAGAAAGGGGAATCGTGTTTACTATGAATGAGCATCAGTGATCCCTGTTCTTAAAAGAATAAGTTACTTTCTCCAGTGTTCCTCCTCAGGATTTCTCTTTGCTTTGCTCTCTCCCTGTCAGAGTCTCTTTGCTACCATCAAGTGCCTGCATTTCCAGCAGTTCCCAAGCCCTCCGCCTCTCTCCTGTACCACGCTGTGCTGAGTAGCTGCTGAATTGCTGCTAAATAGCAGGAACTACATTTTTGTTTGGATTCAGTGCCCTGGCTGGAAGAGGAGGAGTGAGAGAGGGGAAAGGCGAGTTTCCTGATACGCTCAGAATGATGTTTTCATTTGGGAGTCATACCCAGCTGGCACGAACGGGACACTATGTGTGCACGGGTGTCTTGTTGCACCCTTGTATGGCAAATGGAATCCTAATGTTACCCAAGCTTTTTGTTTGGAGAAAAAGGGGAAAAAAAACTTTCCAGAGATCAGTCAGTTTGTCTACCCTCAAAAAAGACTTTTCAGGCTTTGCCAAAATACTATTCTCAGATAACAGGTGAAATTGCATTAAGGCATTTTCATCTTCTGTAAGCAGGATGAGGAAGATCAAGCTGAAATTTTATTAGATTTTTTTTTTTCGGTGCTGGTATACACTCTGTGCATTAAAATTCTTCCTCCAGTAGTATTCTTGTTGAAAAGCATGGCACGCACTGTAAAGAAGTTCTCTCAGAAGGAGGTTTATCATATGGTCGTGCCGCTGTACGTCTGTCGTATTTCAAAGGGTGTCATAACAAAGATGTGTAGAGAAGGTGGAATGTACAGTATGTTGCTTTGAATAGAAATAGGACCAAAAAGGGTTGTTAGAACAAATACACATTACTTCAAAGCTTTTTAAACTCTCTTAGGAGCCATCTCGTTTAAATCTATAATGCATTGGAGGATTCTTATGAACCGTTCATATCCATAATAATCAGCAGAGTAGTTCTACACATGACTGCGAAGTGAATGTTCATTTCAAATATTTACCAAGGAAGGTCTTTAAGTCATTGTTTATGAGAAATTGAGCTTTATCTGCATGGATGTTTTAGTAATTAGTTGGGTTTTATGGAATGCATGGCAGTGCTTTCACAATTTTATCTCTCGTTCCAATCTTCTATTCATTTCTGGAATGCCAAAACAACATCTGTATTTCCTGCTACAGAAATGATTGGCAGCCATGTTTCAGGCAAATGTGCATAAGAAAAAACAAATGGCATTTACAGACTTGGAAGTTAAATGCTGAATTTAAAAAAACGTGACTTGATGAATCTTAAGGAGGAAGAAAAGGGATAGACTTGCAATTTTGTGATTTGTTGGGCAAAACAGGTTACTTGTCATTACCAATTAGAATTGTATTTTTTTTTATCAGATTAGACATAATGTTTTGGTTTCTGCAATGGAATTTTTAACTTAAGTGGTTATCATACAGATAAAAGCATAAATGTGTATTAATAAGCAGATAATTGATATGGTATGTGTACTGAAATAGATGATAGTTAATACCAGGTACAAAAGCTTTCTAGCAACATACAGAAAAGATAAGCTGGGAAAGAGGAGTGGATTTCAGTAAATGGTAAAGATCTTCAGGATAATAAAAAAATTAAAGACTTGAATGTGTTGGGTGGGGGCTCATTTCATTTTCTGCTGAAGACTGTTTTTGAGGGCTTGTTGGATGGCTACCTCTAAGTGGGGATTTACAGGAGCGTAGTAAGTGTTGTGTCTACATGGGACCTGTACGAATTAAATCTTCACACATTTTTCTAAAGCATTCCATGTTGTCCCACAAAGGTGTTTTTCAGTTATGGCTTTCTTATGTCTCCACATCATTCCTTCTAGATTTGTGTCCTCTTTCCTCATCTCAAATAAGCATCTGGGTGATATGACTTGGATGAGCTCTTAATAAACTTCGTAAATCTAGTAAAAAACGTTAGGTCTGACTAACTTACATGGACTGTTCTTCCTCTGACTCCAAAAAATTCTTTTGGAAATGCCTTACTTTAATTTGCAAAAACTTGCAGCTTAAAACTAGCACTGGAGTTGCGCTCCAGTGGTGTTGTGCCAGCACTCAAACTTCGGGTTCTGGTACACTGCATGGTCCTGTGTGGATATAAAAAGTAGCCAGGACTCATGGCTTGAACTAGAGCATGTTCTGGTCAAATGCTGCTGTCATTCCATTTCTCACTCGCAGTACTGGCCAACAGCAACCTTTTTCAAGCCCCTCTCTAATACCAAAACCTGTGACTAGGACCAACTCAACCTGTAGGCTGCAGTGCTAGCACAATAGGGTTCTACTTCTCTGACCCAGGCCCAACATAGGAAGTCAGTAATAGTGCCTAGAAATCGCCACCTTTTGTGCCTGTGTTCTGTAAAAATGTGTCAGACAACTTTTTTTAAAAGGCCTGATGTTACAAAAAGGCTGTCGCTTTATACTAGGCTTTTCCTGCTTCAGAAAGACCGTCTGAAAAATTTCTTGATGACTTACTATGGAAAGAAAAGGGAAAGTGAATGGTTAGCATGTGAATATCCTCTGTTTTTCAAAAGACATAAGACGTAAGGTTTTGACACATTCATGGCATTTTTCCCCCACCATTAAGACAGATACTAAACTCAGAGACTTGAAAGCATGTTTAGGCAGAAATTATTCCTGCCTTCTGTATTTGAAACCCTGGATACTAGGTTGGAATTCCAAAGATTTGGCCTTTCTCTGACCATTGTCCCAGGAGAAATCCTTGGATGCTACTTCTCTTCTAGTTAAAACAAAGCTTTGTGCTCTCTTCTTAGGGCCGTCCTGAATTAACACCCTCAGCAATAGCTGCAGGAAAACTGCTGGCTCGGCGTCTTTTTGGCCAGTCTTCAGAATTGATGGACTATAACAATGTGAGTTGTTATTTCTTTTTTCAATAATAAACCCCAAATCATACATTTTTTCTCCTTTAGGATTTTTTTTTAAAGGAATTGCATTTTGTCAGCTGGAATCCAGCTTTGACCATGTCCAAAGTAGATATGTGTGACAGAGCTACGCTTGTCAGTCATGTGAAAGTCTCCTCTGTATCTGCCTGGCAGCTGCTTCATATGGTTCAACAGTAACACTTTCTGTTTCCTTGCAAGCAGGTACCTACTACAGTTTTCACTCCCTTGGAATATGGTTGTGTTGGACTGTCAGAAGAAGCAGCTGTGCAATGTTATGGATCAGATAATATCGAGGTATGAAAACAATTTTAATTTTAAAGTTGGTGTCAGAGTTGCGCTGTGAAAAAACCAGAAGTTTCATTGTTGTATCAGGCAAAATTTTCAGTCCCCGAAATACTGTGCTTGCAGTGAGGGAGTTGGTGGCTTCAGAAGAACTAGGGACTTGAAATATACTGAAACATGTCGTAATGGAAACTGGATGCTAGTGTCATGTAGACTGATACAAATTACTGTACAATGGTTGTTCTCATGTGACAGACAATTGGTGCGTATGTGTCATAAGATGCGTTAACGTGCGCACTGGGGAGTAAGTTCAGCTGATGGATTTACGTTGGAGCCCTAGGCATTATCATTAATGAAAAAGAAAGCATTTACTATTCAGAATGAAAAAATTACAGTTAGGGTTATTTTGTGGTATACTTCATTACAGATAAGGAAAGCTTCTTGGATTTCATTATTTTCAGTGAACGAGGTATTAAACTTTTGGGAGAAGCTTAAAGGAACAAGACTAATATTTTTAATTTGGGGCACTGGTTTGAGTAACATGATTATGTGTGATATTTTTTTCCGTTTTGTTTTTAGTCTAATGGTTCCCTAAGAAAGGTTTGTGTTCAACTCGGACTGCGTTTTCCATATTTTTCTTTAAAATAATGAAGAGATTATAAATCAATCAATTTTTCGTACAGCATTATGAATATGTAGTAATAGTAGGCGTTATAACACTAAATAGCGGTTGTTGACATGATAGCACTCTCTAACACAGAATGTTATTGTTTTCCCTACCAGGTGTACCATGCGTATTATAAACCTTTGGAGTTTACAGTGGCTGAAAAAGATGCGACTCAATGCTATATGAAAGTGAGTGCTGTGAGCGTTTTAACTTGCTTTTAAGTTAGAGCAAAAGATACGGTACTGTCAACTTTAGGGAGGATTATTTGGCAAAAAAACCTCTCAGCATGGATGAGATATTTTCCTGGTGACAGCCTGCTTTTCTCCTGTAACTTCAAATGTTTAATATTCATTATGTAGCCCATTGCATCTTGCAGTTGCTTCACAGATAACAGTGTTTTTCAGAGCTGACATTCTGCTGATGGGTACCGTCTTTGAATTGCTCTTAAGATCCTAAGAAATAGGATCCTAAGAAATATTCCAAATTCTATAGAGATTAATCTCTGCTTCCCCCCAGCCAAGTACTTCTCTAGTTATGTGTAATATTTGAGGTACCTTCAAAAAATTGAGCATAGTCCTTACAAAACTGAAGTAACTCTTCAATCTTACTCATCAAAACAAAAAACCTCCTGGTTAGACCAGAGTGTTGGACTTGAAATGTGGCTCCTCCTAGAGCAATTCACTTGCTTCAGTGTTGAAAAAGTTTTCTGATGCACTTGCCCATAGTAGAGAATCTTAGAAAAAGTGTAGTGTTGCTAGAATATGTCATAGTTTTCTCTTTCTTTTCCCCTCACTATCAGGGAGCAATCTTTTTTTCAGTAGATGTAGGAACTTCTGTAGGTCCATCACGAAGTATTACATTGTTGTTACTGTGTTACGTAAGGTATATCCATTGTCAACAGTTGCAACCAATTTTTCTAACCATATTTTGTCACATCTGATTTGTGTAAGTGCCTTAGTAGCTTGCCTTAACTGTCACAAGTATCAGTGTAACTAAGGTGATACAACTTTTTTTACCTCCTCCCTTTAAACCATGTCAATAAAAGTAAATATCTGATCGTGAAGTAGTAATAGTATAATAGTTGTTGGAAGGTATTGAATAAAACCCTTGCTAAACTCCCAAAACACATGAACAAACATTAAACGTGAGGGTTTCAAACTCTATTGCAAGAGGGTTTGTGTTTTTTGTTTTTTTTTCAAAAGTCCTCAATATTTTAAGTGCCCCATCTGGATTGCTACTGTTTCTGGTATTCCTAATGAAAGAATCCAAGCCTTTACTGAATAGCAGAACATGTTAAATTACTGATGGTTTAGTGCTTGATGGTAGGACACAGGGAGAGACTGACTTTCTTTTCATAATTATAAAGGTGGTGCCCTTAAAGGAAATAACAAGTTTTCATTAATTTCTCTGATAAAAATTAAGTGTGCAGTGACTTAGGCCCTCTCAGATACTTATTAACTCACCTTCACCTTTGTCTGCTTCTAAGGGTTGACTCTTTTTTAGGTTATGTGGCTGATGTGGTAAATCTATATCATCAAATATGCTGCTCTAAGTATTTGCTGACTGAATCACAAAGGCACAAAATACCCTATAATTCATAGTGGTCATCTTTGGAAATGCAGCTAATGAGAATAACTGCACAGGCTTGGAGAACTGCAAAGGTGACCATTCAGTGTCAAAATACACTAGTCTGCTTAGGAGACTACAGGAGGTTGAGTATTTCATACAGATGACAAACAGCGACGTATTCATTTTACCACAAATTATCGTTGTCAGTGGCTCCCTCAAGTCTGAAAGAAATACAGTAATAAAGCTTCAATTCAGCAAAGTGCTAAAGGACAAGCATAAGATCTATTGAAGTCAGTAAGACTTAACGCAAATGCTTAAGTTCTTGGCACACTGGGAATAAACAGCTGAACTAAGATCTTGGGGCACTTCAGTTTCATTTAATTCAACTTCATGCCTTATCTTTAAATGTTCTAAGAAAAGATCTCTGGGTAATGTATTGTTTTCAGATGGTGTGCTTACGAGAGAGAGAGCAACGCATTCTTGGCCTTCATTTCATCGGACCAAATGCAGGCGAAGTTATTCAAGGATTTGCTCTTGGAATCAAGTAAGTACAAAAGAATGTCTCCAGCTTCTAAAGCCTGCATTTTAAGTTATTCTAAGATTATAAAAGATAGTTGCCTAGTTTTGGCAACACTATAAAGAATCCATGCTTTTTGTTACTTTTATGTTGTAGCATTGCACATATTTTCACTAAAAATACTGCAGTTCTTCATTAGGATGTGCTGGATTTAGTTACTGTAATACTGGATATAGTTAAGGAAGAACTGAGGAAAATACATTGTTGGCTTGCTGTAGTTAAAGCAAAAAATAAAATTGTGCATTAACTTACTAAGTTTTTGCAGAGTGTAGCTTCTTTTTGCATTCTATGCACAGGATAGGATATATATAGGGTATATATATTGCACCATACGGTTTTGCAAGTCCCTTCTTTAAAAGGGTATGTGTGCTTTTCATAAAATCCTTTCTTTACACCCGCATTTTCTTTTCTAATCTCATCTTAAAATATGCATAGCAATTGCTCCTCAAAAGCTCTGCAAGGACCTGCATGAATTTTTATATTTCTGTGATATAAGCTAATCATAGTATGGTAAGGAAAGAAAGAAACTTCTGTAGGCTGGTGGGAGAGGGGAAGGTGCTTTTGCCTGGAACTATCTAATAATTGCAATAACAAAGTTACCCAAGTAAGTGAACCTTTGTGATCTGATCTTTTCTCAGATCTTCTCAAATACTAATATAGAAATCCTCCTGTTGAAGTAGTAAGGAATGATTCTCTGATTAAATGGAGTCTTTCTGCTATGCCTTCTGTGTGCTACACTTACTTCTTATTTGTTTTTTCATTTCCTTTCTTATTGCTGATTCATGTCTTCAGAAATGTTGATATGTATATTTACATTACTAAATTATAGTTTTTAACTGCTCTTTGAAGAAAGTAGGCCAAGACACAACGAATTGTCCCCAATTGTGGTGTTAGTTCATTCTCCTGAATATCATCACCATATTGCAGTTTTACTCCTCCAGTTGTGAGTGACTAGCATAAATGAAAAGCAGAAAGGATTAAGGCGGCAGGACCGCAAGGATCATGTGAGGAATATCTTGGAAATCACTGATTGCAGTGTACCCTCAGTACACATTTTCAACATGTGTTTGTAGTCCATTAATTGCCAGTGGTATAGATTCTAGAACTACATTTTTTGGTATGTCATTGTTTTGAAGTTTAATCCAAAATAACCAGTGAAAAGGAAGCACATGAAACTGGAGTGCTTTTCTGCTTTGCCTGAGGGAAATTAAAACTTTAGCCACAGTAAGAGGTTTTCAGCAGGTCAGATTCTTGTATTGGTTTCTGTTGTATTTCACAAATGCAGAGCTTTTGATGCAGAACACCCACTGTTAAGAGCTGCTGTTCTCCTTTATCAAGTATTAGGTCTTACTTCAGCCTCTGCAAAGGATGATTTTCCATTTTGCCTCCCCACTTAGCACTCCAGTAACATTTGTGCTCAGCAATGACTTTCCGCTTGTCGGTGCTTTTTTTGGATGTAGCTGGGTACACGAGAAGACATCTGTGGCTCTTGTCACTGTATTTTGTAGAGGGAGAGAATGTTATCCCGTAGAGAGCTTGAAACAATTCTTAAATTTAGAGCCTTTTCAGCTATTCTTACAGCATGACCTGCCAGGAGTAGCAGCTCAAAGCAAAGTCATCAAGTCTAAGAATGTTATTGGACAAGTAGAGGAATTAAGCAAGTGGTATTTTAGCTCAGGCTTTTTTAGTGTGGTTTTGTTTTGTTTTTTCCAATGAGATTTTTTTTTTTCCTGCTGCTTATATCGTTGATCATTTCAGTGTAAGCACTAGACTTTCTCCAAGATCATGGAAGAATATTCTGTTATTACCTCCTTCAGCCGATTTTTCCAGCAGTCCTAATTAAAATACTCTTCCTCCGTATGTATGTGTGTTTTTCCATCTGAAGTCAGAGTTAGTGAAACACACATGTATGTACAAGAAAAGCTGAAGGCTGCAGTTTTGTCATATGTTTTTGCCAAACTTGGTTGTGACTTGGGGCAAATTGCTTAATTCTGTCTACCTCAACTCTTAAGACAATTCTTCCCAACCTAACAGTGTTGTGAAGCTGGACATTTAAATGTTGTGTAAGTGCCTGAGAAATAATTGACAATGTCATCTGAAGAATAAATGCAACTCCTCTACCTGATAAAATGGGCAAGGGCAGAGTTACTTCGATGTTTCAGGACATTCCAGCAGCTTCAGGTGAATAGTGTTTGACTTTGTGGGTCTCTTTGTAGATGCGGAGCTACATATCCCCAGCTAATGAAGACAATTGGCATTCACCCTACCTGCGCTGAAGAAATTACCAAGCTGCACATCACAAAGCGTTCTGGCTTGGATGCAACAGTCACAGGCTGCTGAGGTTAAATACCATCCCTGGAAAGGAGGAAAAAAAGCACAAAATATGTATGTATGGAAACGGAGCACTTGTTGAAACAGCTTTAATGGTTCAATGATTCAAGTTCCAGGAATCTTTCTCGTTCTCCCTATAGACACCTTTTTCTCACAGCCAAACAAGGAAGTTGTCCTTACACCATCACAATTCTGAAAGTAATGCAGTCCTGCTGTAACAACTGTCTTTCTTTCGAAGTGCCTATAACTCTTCTCTCGCTGGGAATAATCACAATTTCATGTATATAAATACAACCAAAGCCAGTGACATCTGAGGCCATCTAGAAATTCAAGTGACCACTGTTTAATTTGTCTGTTGGCATGGCTGACTGCCAAGAGAAGCATCTCAGATAATGCTCATACAAATTCTGGGAGTCAGACAGGGTCTTCGTTAGAATTTCGGTGATGATGCTTTCTCCTGAGTGCTTGGGTAGCTCATTGCCAGTTCCAGTTGTGAACAGTGATGCTCTGTACTCACTAGTGATGGCTGAGAATGAATGGGCTCAGAGGTACTAAGGAAAGAACTGAATTTTATGATGACTTCTCTATCTACTCTTGAAATTTCTAGTTTCGTTCAGTTCAAATTAAATTGACACATCTCACAAATAACTGCTTGAACGCCATAGAGTAAGCAATATTGAAAAGTAGAATCAAAACCACTCATAATCCAGCTCTTGCATCATTTTCTGTTTCATAGGATGCAGAAATCTGGCTGACACAGTGATGTATTTGTTGGTTTGTTTTTAAAATTTTCTCGCTGATGAGCTGGATGCTACATCTGAATGAATTTAGGTCTGACTTTAATAAAACATGTTACTGAAGGAATCTATGTTAGACAGTGATCTAGAAAATAAATGGTCCTGCTCAGAACAAAGATAGAGAATAATAATCTGCAAGGGTTTTTTTTTGTTTTTTTGTTTTTAATTGTTGGCCAGAATGAGAAAGGATTGCTCTGTTGCAAATTTCTGCTTATTTTCCTCCTATCCAGAAGGGGGAGATGCTGGCTAACTTGTGACAGTGAAGAAAGAGCAATCTGATAGTGAAGCTGGTTCTGCAGGATCTTGTTAAATAGGTAGCCTGACAAAGGTAAACACAAAACAAACTGTTGAATTTAAATCCATGTTGTGGTTGCCAACATTTTGATATGCATAGTCACATCGTTTCTTGCACCCTTTACAGTAGAACAGTGCATGTAGAAAAAGATGTCAGCCTGAGGTGAAACAAAAGGTATCCTTTTTATCAGTGTTTTTATGCGCGAGATTTGTTATCCTTGTAGCTGTCCTTCTGCTTGTTGCACAGTTTGGAAAAATAGTCTTATGGTCATGTGTATTTTTGCTATTTTTAACTGAATTGCTATTTCACTGCTGCAGCATGCAACACGGACAAATGGTATATTTCAAGTGTGAAATCTTTTTTGCCATGAGAATTGTCCCTGTCAGAGAAACTATTAGACAAACAGTGATTAGAACGTCCTTCTAAAATATGATGGAACAGCATTTATCGCATTCTCATTGATACTAGAATACTCCATTTTCAAAAATCTGTTCTGACTTAAACAACAAAAGAAATCTTTAATGCTTTATTTACAAAGTTTCCCGATCTTTGGTCTGTGGTTTTGGTCTGTAAAAGAGGAAGGAGCAATACAGTCTGACTGCGAGCGGCATTCCCTATCGGATCTGCTGATGCCATTTTTCATCTGTGAAGTCATCCATAAGCTTGTAGTTGAGAAGAAATACTTTGAGCGGAGGTGTAGTTTAAACACTGCCTGGATATTGCAACTGCCTTTAGAAGAAATGATTAAATTTTTATATCTGTATATAAATATGTGCATTACCTGCACATTCAGAAGTTCTCATTTCCTTTAATAAAGGTCTGAAGAGTATGATACCGCCAAAAACTCTACTAGATTTTCCCAGCTGTTTAAAAAAAAAAAGTTCATAGGAAATTGGGGGATTTTTTTTAAAATGTTTTACTTAGTATTTCAAAACATTGAGATACTGAATAGCTCGGTCTACAGAGATTTTGCTGTGAGAAACATCCCACCTTTGACTAAACTATAATGTGTATGGAAGCAAGATTTTTGTACTCATAAATGAAAACATTGATGTTTAGCCATGTGAAAGCTGCTTCTCTTCTCTGTCCTACTAATGCATGCAGTGAACTGTCTGCCCCTACCGACAAATCGGTGGGAAGATGAATTAATTTCATTCATCGTAAAGTTCAAAACACCGATTTGAAACAAGTAAAGAGATCTCAAGGAAAGGTGTTCTCAGCATTATCTAGGCTGTGAAACTCAGGCATGTCATCGTTCTCTTGGCTTTAGAATTGCTGAGTGGACTGCATGAAAATTAATCCTTTATCTTGAACAGCAGCCTAGTTCTGTTTCTCATTTAGTGGAAAACGTTGTTGCCCCCCTGAAGTAAAACTCATCACACCTTCACACCTACATAACCCCAGTGTCAGAATCAGCAGCAAGACAGAATAGTGACAACTGCTGTGATTGTGCTTTTTTTCCTGAAGGATTCACCAGGGATGGTCCTCAAGAATTTTTTTTAAAGGCCTGACTAATGTCAGTTGAAATGACTGATGTACGCTGCAAATTACTGATTATATGTGATAGTGTTTAAGGAAAAATAATAAATGTTTAGTCAGGCTTCTCAGGATGCCAGCTGATGAGGACTTGTTTGTCAAGCCATACCATGGTGCAAACAAGTCTGAGCATTGCTGGGTCCCTCATATGTATGATCTCAGTATTTGTTGTGTTGTGAATTGATGAATTAATAAATATTTTTTTCTAGTAAATGTTTGATTGTATTTTTTTTTTATTTTGTATATATGACTTCTATTTTCAAAAGATTTCTTTTTTGATCTTAACACTGTTTCTCTTGGTTGAGGTGTATGTTAAGGAAACAATGAAGGAGACAGACCTTTTAAAAAGGAAATGTTTTTACCTCTCTGTCTCTGATGCGTAAACTGAATAGCTATGGAGATTATTCCAGGCTGGATAACCTTATTATTTTAAATTTTAAAGAACGTCTTGACTTGGTAAGTATATTTTCAAGTACTCTCCTGTTTATTCCAGCTAATGTGGTCTAACAGGTATATTTACGGTCTGTGGTTGACATTGCTTTACTCTGCAAGAGTAAACTCCCTTAAAATACAGTGCAGTCAGGGTATTATACAGGGCTGAAATATTCTACATCAACTCTGAGTTTTAAGCTAGAACATGTAGTGGAAAAAATACATTGCAGGAAAGCCAATTAGTAGCTATGAGTACTGTTAGGTAAAAATGTTGGAAAATTAATTAGGAAATTACTAGGAAAAAATATTTTTAAACCCTGACAAACCTCTATCAGAAAAGAAAGGGACTATATTGTTCAAATTTATCTCAATTTTCTTATTTTGGTGAGAGGTTCCCGTTAAGGCAGGTGATGCTGAGCTTCTGAAATAGGCTGGTTTAATATTACCTCAGTATGTGCCCTGAATTTGATGCTGAGAAAGAATATTAACTTTATTGTATCTAAAGGCATTTTTATTATTTCTGCATTTTTAATCAGTTTTAATTTCCTGGAATATTTCATTGCAGGTTCTAACTAATTAAGATAGCTAGAAACAGTGGCTAAAAAAGGGGAATAAGGTAAGGATAATTCTTGATGCTACTTTCACCTTATTTTCATACACCACTTAATGCTGAAACAAACAAGAATAACAGACAAGCATATAGACAATAATGTTTATAAATTAGGAATCAAATATACTGCATTACTTACATTATACCTAATGTTAGCTTGTTCTCAAAGCTGTGTTATTGTGTACAATTAAGTTTGCCTTTTCCCATTTATGCGTGCACTGCATGTCATTATACCTACTGGAAAATGTTTCTAATTTAGATTATTTCAAACCAAGAGCTGGAAAAGATATTTCAGTATAGCAGATACACTTGGACACTTTTGGTTTGTTTTGTTGCTAGCACAGTCATTATGATAAAAACATAAATACACTGCACTATGGCATTTCTAACCAAAACAGTTGCATATTGTGCAGACTTTTCAGTTTGAAGGCTTCTCTTCAGAGGCTCAAGCCTTTCCAGCAAAGTAGGCAATTTTGTGCCTGTATAAATTGCCATTTGTCTAAATCCTGGTGAAATCAATGTACTCAAAGTTAATGTTAGCCATTAATTTCAGTGGGATGCAAGTATGTTTTAAGTGCTTTATTAAAGGGGAATCAATATAAGCATATGCCAAAACGTCTTTCATTATTACAGTTGGGGAACAGACTGCAATTATGATTCAAAACATAAAAGGTACAATGGACTTCTATGATTAGGCAATGAAATATGCCTTTAATAAGCCTAGTGCAGACAGTTTGTTTTGCAATAAGTAAACTTGTATAAAATTCATTGACTTTTTCATTCTTTCAGATCTGTGTGCTCACTTTTAAGAGAGGTTTTTCAGTTTTATGCACAAAGTTTTCCTGATGTTCTTCCAGCAGAAGGGCTTGGTTTGCATGCATTTATTCTAATGCCAAACTTGAATTTTACTGGCAAAAGAGGAAACAACAGAACAGACCTATTTTTTCCAGGCCAGCATGCAACAGATATGGTGTAATTAACTGATTTTTTAAAAATGGAGTATTTCTGTCCACTACACGTCAAATAGCTAATTATGTTTCTGTTGTGGCACTCAAAGTTAATATTGTCAGCTCTTCTTAGTTCTAATCCTCTGCACTGAGTTTTGATGGGCCAGGTGAAATATCCCCTTCAGCACCTTACTGCAATTCTTGTCAATCATCTTGCCATGAAAAACATGCATATTACAAAGGCTTTGGCAACACTGCATCTGATTTCAGTCTTTAATCTTACATGCACCTTAAGAAAACACCATTTCAACTGCTGACGTTCTGTTTGGGACGTGAATGGATCCTCTTTGCTGTGGGAAACAAAAGAAAATGATCTAATCTTTAATGGAAAT